TATTTGTTTGGTGGTTCGTGGCTCGGACGGAATTTCGATATTCTTACCACCCGCCCGGACTTCTAGACAAAATTCAATATGTTTCGGAAAAATTATAAATTGCTAAAAAAGTTGGACCCAGTGGGGGTCGAACCCACAACCCCTTGATTATTAGCCATACACTGCTACCATTACACCGACGAGCCCGTCAATATGGTTTTATAATACCTGTCAACTTTTTTATACTAGATAAAAGTTAGAAGATCTACAAAGTCCAAAAACGATCGAACTTAAATCGTGCGACGACTGGAGTCGTAAAATAAGAAGTCTTGTGCTTAAAATTACATAAAAATCGTCTTTTACGATACAATAGCAATAAATTTTATTACTGTTATTCACGAACTCAGTTTATTGCTCTTAAAGTTATGATCACTGTGTACAGTATTTTCACAATGTACCTAATATAAATCAAACTATTTCTTATTTCCAATTTTATATCTTCAATCCGATCGTGTGATATTTCTGATACTAAAAACAATTCTATCCAAAAACAATGAAGTTTGCGCAAACTTGAAACAGGCAATTATTTGTTCTTCCAGTCTTAGTAGTTTTGTTTTTATCACTCGTTCTGTAGAATCGCCCCTGCAGGTCCGTTTACATTCGCGAAACTGGTCGCTAAACAACAAAGTTGCTTCTAGGACATCCGCACTAAACATTGCTTGTAAACTTGGTTTTATGTTTTTATTTACGACAAACTTAAATGATAAGAATAGCTGGACTAGGTTTAAGCTTGGGCAAGTAAAAGACAGAAGATTATATGAAGTTTCGGAACTGCTCAATTAACATGTAACCAGAACCACCTTGCTGTAAACTTATGTATTAATAATATTTAAAAATTATAAATATACAAAGTGAAAGCACTTTGCCCTAATATAAAATATATTTAGTTATTCTGTATTATAACGACGATGATGTGTAGGGCACGGTAGCTCAATTGGTTAAAGCAACAGCACGGAACAGCTGCTTGTTTTTTAATTGAAATAGATTTTAATAAATAACGAATCACCATTAATGTTATTTACGAGTTAGATAATAGCATAAGTTGTTGACTGTAGCTGTTAGTACATAATGATGATGGACACTGATAATCTATGATATACGATTGTCTTAAAGCCATGTTCACACAATGCTGTGGTAATTAATTGCAACAGCTTTGTATGTTAGTACATTAGAACAATGCGTGTCTAACATTATAGATATCAAAGAACATGGTTGTGGTCTGAGGAGTCAGTCCTAGTTTCATAGAGACCTTCGAGTCTTGGGGAAACGTAATAAATAGTTTCGGTCGAGCAGGGCTCAGAACTCTTACTTATCTGTGAAAAAACGTTTATCCTAACAAACCAAGAGAAGATAAGACTTATTGCTTTACTAAGGAGAATCAGGTTTTAACTACGAACAATAATGTATGCTATTAGATTTATAATATGATTGTAAACCTAACTTTAATTATATCATTGGTCACTTTTTCTCATGTTATTGCACATTACGGTATTATAAAATTTAAATTTAAAAAACAAATCACGACACGAGCACGACTTGAACCGACAATACTGCGTCGTAGTACTATATAGCATACACAACTATAACGTCAAAGGTATCAAAGTGATGAAATGCGAAGCGTAGATACTACAAACAATATAATATTGTCTAGGAATACCTAATATCTGTTCTTACATATACTTGTACATCCATATATCAAATGCCGTGTATTCGATACCGGGTTGAGAAGGTTTTGAAGTCTTTGACATAGAAGCAATGTACTTTTATCTTGTTGTTTAAAAATGACATATGGACAATTTAGTAACTTAATTTGTAAATCTGTTCCTTTTGTAAAAAAATACAACGGAACTTTAAAAAAAAAGAACAGAAAATTCCATGGAATTATTTATAGTCTTTGGAATGATCCATTCAGTAGAAATGGTGTTTTCAGTTTGTGTCGTTAACAAAAAGAAGCAATCTGTATGGATTATGTAAAAGCACTTGTGAGGACAGGGTCGTAGGTTTATAGATGTATTGTAATCGTTTTGCTTATTGTGCAGAACATTTTTACTCACTTTTTTATAGGTACGACAATACGACGTACTTTACTTGGGTGAAATCCATACGAAAAAAAAAACAACTTATTAATAAAAACAATCTATTTCTACCAACTCAATTTATATGTAGGTATGGAGTCTATTTTTTAGACCAAGTCAACGTAAAAACGTGTGCAGTAAAACCTTTAATTGCAATCAGGTTAAAAATTGATTCTAGATTTTTTTTTAAATACGACTCGGGCAGGACTCCCACTAACATCCCTGTCGGTGTCCCGTATCAAGTTTGGAACCGGTTTAATTCTGCCAACGTGTAAAAATTTAATTTTAATGTGTCAGCCAGTTTTCAATTTTTATAGTGGCCAACATTTCAAAATTGCAAAGTTTTAATCTACGAATTAGAGTGGCTGTTTCATAAATTGCAATCAATGTCTAAAAATTCGAGTCTGATAAAGCAGGTAATTCTGCCCTTCCGAGATTCGATGATAATTACTGAGTACAAATTAGTGAATCTACAATGAAGTCATCGTTTCGAAATCCGTGGTCTCAAAGGCGATGGGCCAGCCCAAACTACGAATAGCTATAAAACATTCGCTTTGCGTTGCAAACGCTGTTCTGTTTTGATGTTTGCCACAAACAAAATACATATTGTTTTATACATATATACGGCTGTAGATCGTTAATTCCCGAGTAATATAAATCGATTTATCAAAATGTTTATGTAACATAAATTAATGTTTTTTATATCATACGATAATACAATACATTTTAGTTATCCTAGACCGATGACGAAAAACCTGGCAATTTTCCATATTCTCATAAAATAAAAGTTAGCACAGTGCTAAGTAAGCTAGCCTTTTTTATAAAATAAAAAAACTGCATTAATATTTTGGAATCCTAAGACAAAATCCGAATCCATCAATATAATAAAAACACAAAATCACAGATTTCAACTGTTTAAAACTAATACTGGTAATAATTTTAGTAATTATTATAATGGTTATCTACGGATTACCAAAGTATAAAAGTAAAGTATTGTTTTATTTTCTAAAGGCTTCGACAAGAAATATAACAGATATTTACATAAAACACTTTAACGGTTTAAAATTGCTACGCTAGCGCCATCTGTCGAAGTTGGTATTTGGCGAAAATGGCCGGGTCCTTACAGAATTGACTTGTCGGTGTCTTCTCGTTTGCCGGTATGCTGTTTATTGGAATCCAGAGCTTTTAATATGGGAAGATTCATAGAAATAAACATAACAGAATAAAAACAAACTAAAGAAGTACTTGACAAGTCATAATTCTACAATATGCTTACTTTTAACCTCTATGTTCCGTAACCCGTTCGCTCTGCTTTTCGTACTTTTACACGCTTCCTATTGAACCGACACTCATAGGTCTTATATAAATCTTAAGGGAGGGTAATGTTCGTAACGCAACGCATTTCGCATACCGCGTACAATTTCAGCTTATACATTATTTTTTATACAAAACTTAGATGGGCTTCGCTAGTTGAGTCCAAGAACCACTCGTATCTTTTTCATCTCTACATCCAGTAACTTGTACCACAATTTAAGTTAAGCTATAGCAGTCGCAACACACATTGCAATTGACCGCTCGCGTTTTCATCGATATTGCGAGTGAATATATGTTTCAGACTACTTGTAATGAAATACTCACAGATATTACGATTAAACTACAGAAATGTGATTTCCATGGATTCGTGATATTTACTTATATGTCTATTTAACGTACCTTTCGGAGGTTCGCTAGTTACAAGTCATTATAATACAATCCAAAATTTATCGAGATGAAGGTAGAACTTGATTCTTAAGTTAACTGATGATATTTTAAAATACTTAAAGAATCACTTATTGCTGTCTATTGCCTCAGTATGGACGCATAAGATCTAAGCTCAGAAGAACCAAAAAAAATATTTAAAAAAAATGTTTATTGTAATAAAACTTAAAGAGATTTTTCTTAATTTACTTTAAAAATATTGTTTATACGTTATTCTTTAAAACTAATCACTAAGACTCACAAATATTTACGGACAAGTAATTGATCAAATTATGTGGTTTACCTCACAAAATCTGTTCAAAATATTTTTCTGAGATTAGATCCCTTTACCACCGCGGTTAACGCTAGGAATCGCTAAAGCCAAGATTCTACTTCCATCGGAAGTATGTAGATAAGTGTGTATGCCCAATTTATTATCTTTTCTGATCGATATTCACAGCCTTCACGTCATAAATAGACCGTAACGGGGCTTATGAATGTTATAGCGAAGTTGATACTATATTACAAAAACGATACAAACTATTGTATGTATAAATACTTGATACTTAACTAGTACGACGATTTACAATCAATAACTATACTAAAAACTTATATAATTATAATAATGTGATTACTTAAAAAACGACTAGGTAGATTAAAAACATATTGACTCTTGTTCTAATCTTATATTGTATATAAAAGGTCCTTGCATAAATTTTGCTCAAGTAATAAGTAATAATACTGTATTTGATGAGTCTTTCAAATATCATAAGGCTGAAATATAGCGATGCATTTTTAAAATTTAGTATGTAATATTAAACCCGCATTTTCCATTCTGACAATGTACATATCAACTATTCTAGTGACATAGACGAAACGTCAAATACGTAATTGTCAGTGCTATTTATTATTGTTCTATCTAAAATCGAAACGCAAAAGCAAAACAAGATATTATGAGAAATCTATTTAAATTTTAATATGTTTTTAATATATTTGTATTAATCGATTGAAACATTTATCGCTACAAAAGTGTAATATCTTTGTACGGGAAGCAAATATTACAGTATTATAGTACATACAGCTAGCAAAACGTGCAGGTCTAGTTGTATATTTGGTTCATTAGCTTAATATTATTTATTAATACGCATAATGGATTGTGTAACTACGTTAAAAATTCTTGTAATCGGAGAAAGTGGTGTAGGAAAATCGAGGTGAGTCGCTTATATTCCGTCACAAAGTAGTGTAATATTGTGTCTTTGTGACTCAGCCTTTCAAGGATAACTTTACGTTTATCCCCAAAAAGGTTTTTTTATGTATATTCACCATATAAGACAAAAATAATCATCCATATTATGTTGGTTATGTATTCCTAGCCACAACTTTAACCTATAATTTTAGCATTTTCTAATTGAGTCTAAAACCTTATTTAACTATTTACTCCCTAAATAAGTAACCATCTTATTTAATTTCCATTCTTGTTAGTTACAACTGCTATAGATTTCAATCATTGAGTATTTAAACAATGATGAGAATAGAGACATATAGACAGTGAAAGTGGTATATGCATTATTAATTATAATGACAGTCACTTGTTTTTACTTTTTCTTTTTAAAAACTGATTACTAAGTACTGTACTTAATGTTTTAGGATTAAGTTGTGATTCTTTAGGTGAAAAACTAATGGTTAAGATGTTTTTTAGTATTATTTTGGCATTTACTACGGGAGACTACAATGCATCATTTCCGGCGACTATAGGAGTCGATTACAAGTGCAAAGTTATGGAAGTTAATGGACTTAAGGTCAAACTGGGTATATGGGACACAGCAGGACAGGAAAGATATAGGACATTGACTAACAGTTTTTACAGGTAAGTTTATACTATTTTCCTATATATGTTTCAAAGTCAATTTATTTGGTAAAGATCTGATAAAACCAATTGAGGGATACAAAATGTTATAAATAAGAAATATAGTTTACTTAATATATTATTATATGTTATGGCACCTCAAGTTCTATTTCATTTAATAGTAATGTTTTTTGCTGTTACCATTCTTTATTACATAACACACCAGAGCAGACGAGCTTAAAAAGTGAAATCCCATATCCCCCTTGTGGGGCATGCGGTGAACACATTTTTGTGTCCTTGTCACTGATCCGTTCTTTAACAGGCAGGTGGTTGATCACATTTCTGTGCCTTGCCTGAAACAATTTTTTTGTTTTCCTGGGATTCAAACCCCAGAACTTTCGCCCGAAACGTAATGCTACGCAATACCACTACTACTACGTTTAACCATTTGGCTGGCTACAGAGGCGGTTGCAGACAAGCTTAGTGTTCACTTAATTAATTAATGGCTTAAGGAATTTTATGCATAACATGTAAAAAAAAAATATTTTTTTTACTGAAAATTGTTATGTAAATTAAAAAAGCACACTATTCTACATATGTTTTATTTTGGAGCATAATAATAATATGATTATACATATGATTATCTCTGTTTCACTGATCAATTTGATCCTACCTTATTTGATCACATCTCTGTGCCAAAACTCAATTATATAGGAACCTCAAAATAAAATTTCATCATATAAGTTATTTTCTTATAGAGATGCTCATGGAGCGATACTGGTATATGATGTGTCAGAACCAAAGTCTTTAGCAAAACTCAATGAATGGGTGGAAGAGCTACAAGTTTATTCAACTAAAAAGAACATTGTATGTCTGGTTGTTGGAAACAAAATAGACAAGGTATTATTATTAAGAAAAAGTGGTGTTTTATTTTACTTCTCTGTTATATTGCTGAATTCTAGTAGCATCTTTAAAAAATTTACAATTGTACTTTTAAGTACGAAATAAAACCAAGAATTTAGAAATAATCAATTTACGTTGGCCCAAAAAATGCACTAACCTTCTTTCTATTATTTAGGACAGAGTGGTAACACGCCAAGCAGGCCAGGCGTTCGCACAAAAACATAGAATGCTTTTTATTGAGAGTAGTGCTAAAACCCAAGAAGGAATCAATCTGGCATTTGAAGAGTTGGTACAAAAGGTAGGTGAAGGTATCATAAATATAGAATTATTTATAATGAATAGTAATGTTTACGAAAAAGTGTCTACGAAACTATTTAAAAAAAATCTTCAACGATGTAATATTTAAGTAAGGTAGAAAAGTAGACCAAATAAATATTATTAAATTTTAATATGGACAGTAATATCAAAGGCGATTTTGATTTTGAACTTATGATTTATATATTAATACAATAATATTATTATAGATCATTGAAACACCTGGTCTATGGGAATCAACGGGTTCATCATCAAATATTCGCATTACAAATGAAGAAAGGAGACAACAGGAGCAATCTTCCTGTTATGATTACACTTGCTCGATTTAATGTATGTTAATGTCAAGTACATTATTAGTTCTACTTTTTTTCTCTCTATTAGACATACAATCCAATTTCCATAAGAAATGTTAACATTGGTTAAAGTTAACTTATCATTGAATGGGAAAATTTTATGGTATATACAAGTAATTTCATCTAAAGAGTTTTTTTCAAAAGGTTATTTATCTCAGTTATATTGGACCAATTGTCAGACAAGATTTTATTATACTTCAATTCTATAACACATGCGCATCAACTATGTTGATTGATAAATGTAAATAAATTATAATAGGGCTTTTATGACAAATGTACCATAATACAGTATAATAAAAATGTATTGCTTATGTACATGTCTTCTTTTATTTTAACATAAAAACAAAAGAGAGTACGTTCGTGTTAGGCCGTTATATATAACATAAATACATAAAGAAAATTATTATTTATATGATAGAGAACAGATGCAGACAGACAGAAGATATTCACTTGATGGAAGGTGAAATATTCAGCCGTATTCTCAACAATATGCATTGTCGACTTATTTTTGCTTTTGGACATCCGGAAAACTTGCCTGAACCGAAAACGCGGTTAAACTTCACGGCTTTTTCATCTGTGGTTTTGCTATATTAAAGAGCTTTTTATGTATATTATAATATTACAATCCTTATGAAACCATATGGTTTTTTGTTTCAATTGAGAAGACTAAAGACTTACCCACTTGCCTATTAGTAGTAAAAACGATGAAAGAAAGGGGAATAAATACATGATTGCAATCTTTGCTTATACAAAGTCAATGGTTATATTTTTCTTTCTTCAAAGAAAATAAAAAATACAAACGAAACTCATAGACTTAAACTATGCAGTGCACTGGGCGGCCTTAATGATTCATCCTTCATCTCTTCCAGATGAGAAAGTTTACGGGAAACGAAGATGTGCAAGGTGGGCGAATTTAGCACTGCTTTCGTAACTTTATATTATAGTTAAGTCCCAATTTCATCGAGACATTATGAGATTATTTGAGGCCGCTAAAGGCAGAGTAGCTTAACTGCAATTTTATGTCTTATTTATAATTTTATAGTCTAAACATCTTATACAAGAGCACAATGACCGAAAATTGTTAACATAATTCTTACACAAATAATAGGACAAATTCATTTTCGCCTAAGTTAATTGCGCATTTTTATTCCCCTCCTTATTAAAAATCATGTTTTGTTTTATTAGGCCACTCTGCCTCTAGCAGCCTCAATTAACGTCGTTGACGTTACACACATACTTACATAAAACCCTGTCATGGCAAAAAGAACGGCCAATTTATAAGCTAAGTGTAAGTTCCCGGCGGTTCATAACATCGTCGATCAACACATTATTTCTTGCATTAATCTTCAAGATGGTCTTCGGTGGTAAGGAAGTCTATATAAATCACGGCGCGTTTACATTTGTCAACGCTTACCCCAGTTCCTTGAGTGATAGTGACTCATTAGCGAGGCCCAGGGGTCGTTTAGACCTATTTGTAGTGGACAAGTGATAAATCGTAACTACTGGAATTAACTTAGATGGACCCATTACATTTTAGTGATAATAAAATGTTTACGGAGCTACACATAAAGTGAAGTCTGTAAGTTCACATACATTGTCTGTTGCTTTTATTGCACTCATTCTAAAATCTTGTGACCAACGAACATAACACACATCTCAACGTATAAATAAATCTGAATTAACGTTTTGCTGCGAACAAAGGTTAGGTATATAAGTAATTATTTACCTTGAACATTTGAATACGGTAAAACAAATATCATATCTTTGCGCAATGTTCGCGACTTTTGCAATAGGCATGCGATATGCCTTGTATATATGTGTCTTGTCCGCAGCAGGATGGAATCGAGTTCGTCCGTGTGGAACCCTCACGACGAAAAATATGTACTAATGCTCGAGAAAATCCAAAAAGCCGTCTTGCGATTCCTTTACAAACACCAATACGGTTTTTACCCCTACTTGTATCCGACCCTGTTTTTATTAGGACAGCTTAGTTTTAATTCTCTTGAAAGTCAGATCTCGTGGGCAATTAGTTGTAGCTTGTAAGTTGTTTCGAAACTAAATCGATGATCTTTATTTGAGGGAAGCTGTCTGTCGACTGTTTGTATTGTAACAACTAGAAGCGCTAGAAGACCGATCTCTTTAACGTCCCGAGAGGTCGCACCTCTGCTCCCGCGTTTTCGCCGATACCACGAATTTTAACCTCAATCAACGCTCTCCTCAAGTTAAGACCCAAATGTGACCTTTTCGCAGATCAATGGTCATCAATACTGAAAGAATTGTCTGATTTTGAAATTTTGCCCATGTGTTTGTAATTGTTTAAGAACGATATCCAAATCTGAAAACTGAATCTTGTAGGTTTGTTTTTAATGTTTATTTATAATAATTAATTAATTATTCCAGTAGTCATGGTCCTATTATTAAATATATAGATTAGTCTTAGCATTTACATTGTAATTTATTTACTGTAGAATATAAAATATACGGACCTACGATAATATTGAAGATAGTTGCAGCCGTCTGCAGTAACATTTTAATTAAATAAATATCAGCATATCACTAGACTGACAGACTGTCGGACCATCGGAATTGGAAATCGGAACCGGGTGTTATCTTATCCGACGTCCTGATTCGGGACGTGTCCAAATTAATGTACTCCAGCTCACATCATTTCGCTCAAAGCAAAATAAAATACGATGATGCGATCTGCATCATCGGACTGATAAAAATATATCTTCTTCGTGATTCCTGATACCCTGGTATCCCGTTTTAACGTATACAGGAGTGATTTTTTCTTTTTTTTGCATTTTTAAAAAGATGTCTGTATATTATTTCATATTTATTGATATTACAAGATTCTATTTTAAATACTAATGTTGGTATTATACAAAATCTACCAAAACGCACTGGGACATTGTAGGTTTCAGCTCTCTAATCTCTTTTTTCGATCAAAAACGTGTGCCCAGGGAAGTCTATAGGACTTTTATAGACAACCGTTAATAATTTAGACTTATAGGTGAATTCAAAAAAAAAAGCTTATACTCGAAGTTGATGACTGACGTGGTAAATTGTAGTCCATACAAGCACGGCATGTTTGGTATTTCTCAAAATGTATTTCATTTCGCTTTGGGATATTTCCTCTTATCTAAATTCTAATCAATTTATCACCGGAAGAGCTGTAATAACTTACCCGCAGTGGGATTTCAGAAAAGCAAATATATCCGCTACGCTTTCTTGTAAACGTTAGAATGCATTTTCGCAAGAATGTAGCAAGTAGTTAGCATGATGTCAAGTATTTGCATTGCAAATTGCCGCGATAACTCAAGATAGCTGACGTCGTAAAACTGGGAAACTGTCGGGACGTGAAGTTTTTCTTATCAACGCCTCGGTAGCTCGGACTACGGTGCGTCCGGTGCTGGATCAGCTTGTTATTTCACTTCGAAATACTTACTTACTTACGTAGTGACGTAATCACTGAAAGTCGGTTCGTATCGTAGGTAAGTGACTAATGAAAAGCGCAGTTAACCTATTAACTTTACGAATTCATTTTTGAATAAACTTTTTTCTTTAGAGTCGTACATCTAATCTGTGCAGACCAATTAAAATAATAAAGCTAAAGAAGAAGATAATAATAAAGAAAAGAGTAGTCCAAAATCTAACAAAGATTTTTGGAAAAGGCCTATGTCCAAAAACGTTATGACATAAAGCAAGTAGCTAAAAAGGCTTATTCTATTATGTGCTTTTAATTTTCAAATTGTAAGTCAAAAGTATTCATCAAAAGTGTCCGACTAAAATAATAGAGGCACCTAGATTAAAACGTCAAAGCTTCACGGTTTAAAATACAAACAAATTAAATCTAAACTGGATAAATCCCTTTCATGGGGTCTTATTATTTTCTGGACGACTGAATTAAAAATCACTAAATGTCCTTATTTACACAAAATTAAAAGCGTATTTAGAGTGAAATTGCGACTAAAAAGCAAAAACCGCTAGTTCTTAGTGGACTTAGGCCGTATAGTAACGAACGTTAATATTGGCGTTATTACAAAATCTACACTAATACTATAAATGAGAGGAAAGATTTGTATTTTTGTATGTAATTAATAAACTCAAAAATTACTGCACCGATTTTAATAATTCTTTTATCATTAGAACGCTATATTATCACTGAGTAACATAGGCTATATTTAGTACTAGATTACCCTAATAATGTAAGAAATTTCTATTAAAACCAACGGAAGGCGTAAAAAAATTTGCCATAAAATGTCTTTCGTCGCATATGCTGCGAAAAGTAATAATGTTAGGATGAAAAAATGTTAGACAAAAACTTCGCGAGATTTCTTGTGACTGAAAAAATTTATAGAAATACCGATCAGAATCAGACCGTGTTTATAATTTTTTATCCATATAAAATTAATATTCAATACCTGCTAATTACTTTTTTAATTATTGGAAACGGACAATCCATTCAAATAAAATATCATGACATTAAAATAAAAAAGAGGCCGCCATGCAGCGCATTCCGGTCGGCTCCTTACGCGGTGGATGCAAGCGACATTGAATATTTCTAGGTTTTTATGCTTCACTTAAAAAGTTCTTTTCTGAGCTACTTAGTTGTAGTATTAGGAATCACACTTTTTGATTGTAGCAACTATCATTACGGGTCCCGCGCGGCCGGTCAGCTCGAACATGTTCCGCGGATCCCGATGATACCAATTTGATTTGCCCATATCTTTTAAAAAATCCCTGTTCACTTTAAAAATATCCTTTGTCCTAAGAATAAATAAATAGCATTTTTTTTCTAATTTAGTGATTAACGGTTGTTTTAATTAGCATGCTTATAACTTAAATGTCTGTAGGTACCTGTTTATATCTATCCGTGCGAAGCAGGGACGGGCCGTTAGTAATCAATATATATATATATGTTTTTATTTATTAATCATTTTATAACTTTCTTTGATGTAGTTTTATCTCTATTG